TCTTTTTTTCGTTTTTTTTTTGTTGAATTTAAATTTCAATGAGAAAACTCGAAACGTTAGAGATAGATAGAAAAAGAGGGAGAGGAGGAGTGAGGGGATGAAAAATTCCGTCCCGAGATACGATCCTTACGCGCGACGACGTCGCGATCGAATCGTTTGTCACCCGTAGATCGAAATCAAAAGCGTTTCGCGTCGATAAGCAGAAAGACATCGATTTACCCGGCAAGATTACTCGACGAGGATTTTAACGTCTCTTCCGAGAAACTAATTGGAAAAAAGACGCACTCTCTCGCCGGTGCGCTCGAATTAATCGCGTTAATGTAGCGCACTGCGCGCCTCCGCGAGCGGAATATCGGACCAAGCCAATTGGAGGATCCATCCGATCCCCGGCTTCAGTCGGGAATTACGCGCAGATTCTTCGAGTCTCGGGTGCCTCGCGTGACGCGACGGTTCGGCGCTCGCGTGTTTCACCTAAGCCGCTAAAAGGAAGGATTTACCGGCGAACTTCCCGAACACACGCGAGTCAAGGCACAGAGCCACCTTTCGCGCGCGCGTCTTTATGATGCGGCACGGCGGAACGTATGAATTTACTTCGCTCGCTGTATATGCGCGAGCATCCATACATATGCATGCGGAAGTACAAGCCGGCTGGAGCAGAATTGATAACGCTTGTCTTCGCGATCAGACAGCCACCGACGTGCGCAATCATGCGGAAGCAACGCGTCAAAGTGAACATCACGAAGGTTCGCTGTTGCCAACTAGATTTCTCGCACGGCATAATGATCGCCGTAGAAAGACGCGTATATCAGACGTGAGAAGACTGGGGATGCGCGTCAAGATGGAGAACTGGAGGGGGGGGGAGGGGGGAGCAATATCGCACGGTTATTTTCCGTGAGAAGAATCGTCGCGTAGTACGCGAGGCATCGGTTGATCGCATTTAGCGAATAACGCACTCGTATGCGTCGTGTTCCGCGCTTGAAAAGTGCTAAGAGATAAAACTACGCACTCCGTCTATCCGTGCGGGGCACGTGTTTACGATTTCCCATCACGTCTGCACGCCGAGATAACACCGAGGCCGCTGCGGGTTGCGTTCTCGCGCTCGCGTTCGCATATTTCGAGCGAATCGTGCTGGCGTGCGCGAGCATGCCCGACTGCAAATTCGGTGTCGTCTTGATCAGAGGCAGCGCACGGATATATCGAACTTCAGTCATTTCCGGTTGTCGAATTGACCGCAACGATAGCGGCTGGATGCGACAGCGCGATGTCGCGTGTGAACTCTATCGAAAGGGCAAATAGATAGATGGACAGACGAATCTATTTAGCTTGGGAAGTGTATCCCAAGTGCACACGCATTCGCATGCAGAGTCTGGCTATAATAGCCTTAACACGTAGCGACTACGTGTTTTCAAGCGTGCGTGTATGCGCATACAGCTGAAAATCGTAGTTGCCGCGCGTTTAAGGCTATTATATCAGGCACCTCTGTACGTTCCGTTGCGCTCATGATGTACATCGTGTTAAACACGAAGGAATCGTGTTAATCAATCTCGTTGTAATATTCAAATAGAATTACCGTATAGCACAGCGCCGCCCGTGCTCGGTAACACGCGTACAGTTTTATTCGCAAGCGGATGTGTGACAATACGAAATCGTCTCTCGTATTCGCCGACGCCTCCGTGCCTCTCGCGGCAAATCACAAAGCCGTATAACCGCAAACGAGCCGTCGAAACGAAGTTGCGCCGTTATTTACGTGCGAGCAGCCTGCGTCGCGATGTATATATATAAGAGGAATCGTGAATAGATTTCTGGCCGATATATCGCGAATACTCCACGGTAAATAGCGGGGAAGGCATCGTGAGTTCCGATGTTATCGCCGATTCGCGATGCGCGCAAGTTCGGATTTACAATTGGTGTAATAAGCCTTTTGCCTTTCGCTCGAAGCACTAAATTGTAACGTAATTTCTAACGGAAAGCGTTTCCAACGCCAGCAGATATCACAATTCCTGAGATTTCAGCTTTATTATGACTTTTGGCAACGCAGAAGCAGGATTGCCGTCACAGTTTGTCTGCCCACCCGGAGATAAGCAAAAAGGGGTTTCTCTCGAAAAAAGGGGAAGGAGTATGTTAATTGCACTCACCGTTGACATTACATATGTATTGCATTTTATATTATCAAAATGTATCCGCTGTTCAGCTTGTAACAGAATCAGAATTTCCACAGTTGCTTCATTACTTTAGAAATATATTTAGCGTTACTTATAGCGTTTTTCAATAATGTGCTCTGCTTTGAGTTCACAATATATTTATAATATTTGTAAAAGTCTTTACATCCCATAACGTAATTCATTTTCGTATACATTTCTTATTGATTCTCTTTTCGAACCGGTTCATCACATCATTCATTATTGAAAAGATTCCTTCTACATAACCATTACTTACTGGGATCGCTAGAATACGTTACATTATTTTCTGTAACTCATTCAATTTGTTATTATCATCGTTTATAACCCATGGTACCGCGTCTGGCAGCCACTCAGGCGCGAGTGGTCCTGAACATATGCATTTCATCTGGTAAATTTTTATCGGTTACGTGTTGCTGCACCACATTGGCCCGGAGATTTTGAATCTCCGGGTTAAAACCGGACAGGTGGCAACGAAATTACGTTATATTTTATTGCTCAGAGCAGAAAGCTTACTTTACCTATCGTAGATTCAGACTAAAAGCACGTCGTCGCTGGTCGGACCATCGGTGCGCGCGCATCGCGATCGGAAACTGCGGCTCGGCGACCGGTCGAGAGTGACCATCGAACGAGCCGCTTCTAACAGCCGGCCGGATTGATACGGTAATTAGCTTCCCGTCGTCACGACACCGTGTCTAACGAGCTACTTTCTACATGGTCACACCTAACGCGCCACGACCGCTCTACCGCTGCGATTCACCCTCTCGCGCGCACTTTCACGCCTACCGCGCCTTCCCGCAATCGCGCTCGCACCACAGTCGGCCGAGCCGCTACCACCGTCGACGTTCCCCACTAAGTTTTGGAAAGCGCTAATTACGAGCGACGGACTTGCTCGTTAGCATCCCGCCCGAAGTTCGCACCATCGCTGCCGAGCGATTCGAAAACCAGAGTGATTATAACACAAATTGGCTCGTCAGGGCTTGAAGTAAGAAAGTTTTTCGTCGCTCGCGTAACGCACAGCGAGAGCCGTCACGACGGGCCGATGGGATGGAACTCCCTGCGACTCGCTCCACGATTTTCCGAATATTTAACAAACGGAGCGAGTTTACATTGCGCTTTTTGGTTTCATTATATTCTGGGAGAATTGATCGGCTCTTCTTCGAACACGATAACGCTCGTTTTTCTCTCGAAATGTCATTCAATCTCGTAACGTTTACGTGGCCGGCTTATTGAATCGTAACGAGATATAAATTAAAATCGCAATTATGAGTTAAAACGACGAGAATATTCGCGAGGTGAATCCATTCGGATTGGAGTTTTCGGCAATGGAGCGTTATTCCGATCGGTCCGATTTGTTTGAACGTTTCAAAAGTTGAATCCATTTTGACGGCTTTGCTATTCTACCTGTGCTTAACGCGCTGATTCTTCGTTTATGATAATCTAACGGCGATCACGATGAACGCTCATCACGTTAGGGGGTATATAAATCACATTTCGGAACAGTAAATTCGCCCTCTCTCAAGAGTGCCAGCCGTTTCAGCGCGCTGAATCGAATCCTCTTACGTTAGTAGGATTTTTTTTTATCGGAATCCGCATTATTTTTAAAACTCATTAATGCGGACGTCGGATTGAACGAAATTACCTCGCATATTGAGCTCTTGAAATATCGCCACTCGTTGATCAATTTGTTAATTGTTCAAAATACGTTGGAAATTGACGCATGTACAAAATTAATTTATATTATCAACGAATATCAAAGTAAAATGCTACTTATGAGGTAAATATTGCCTTTAACAAGGGAAGATTATATAAAATCAAATCTATTAGTATATAGCATATAATAACAATTAATAATCGTCGAATATCATTCGGGTGGAAAATGAGTAATAAAACGGATATTTATCATAAACCATGCAACATTTATCATTTCGTGTAATTGTGAGCTTTAATCAGACGAACGATCTTAATTACTACCAAGTAATTGCTCCGGTCGACAGAAGCGAGGAAGTTATCGCGCGCATCGTGTTTCCTTATCTCTTTCAGTCTCTATAACTTCATCTCCATCAACAAACCTGCTTGTCCTTAATCTGAATCTGATGGACTCAATTAATTAATTATGACTCCGACGTAGACGGAAATGCAAGAGATGTTTCGTCACCTAATGTTAGGATATCAATCATTAGTGATGCAACCATGCTTCAACGGCTCTTGATGAAAAGAATCCGAAACTTTAATTTCCACATCCGGAAACCCTAGAAATAATATTGAAAATGAAACATATTAAATATGCAGCAGCTGAAATGATATATAAGAATATCATATTTTTATTCCAAATAACATTATTGCATTACTCAACATACACACATATTCACACATACGCACATATACGCGCACACGCATGCGCGCGCGCGCACAATTTATACAACTTTAGAAACGAGAGAGCGTGAATTCTCATTGGTCATTCACCAATGACCGGTCATTCATTAGCGCACCGTCGCTTCGCGGTCCTGCGAAAATACGCCGGGGGAAAACGCGTTTTCCTATTTTCCAAACTGCCTCCTAGCCATCCTGCTACCCCCGTATCGCGCTCACCCCCGCCTCCCGATTGGAGGCTGCCGAGCTCGCACGAAGATTATCGAGCTTGCACGAAGCACGGGTGTCGGCGCACCGGGGGTTGCGGGTGGTGAGTCTGGACGTGTACGCGTTGCAGGGTGGGTAGCACCCCGATAGGGCGGGGATGAGGGGTAACACCGTGGGGGTAGGTCGGCGGACGCTTGTCCGTGCGCGAAAATTCGCCGGCAGCATCCAGTGACATCGCGGAGCTCGACGCGCGCGCCTCGTCCTATGCGCGGGAGGATCGAATCGTCGTACGGTTTTCTTCGGAAATCTTCTTCCGAGTGTCCTCGAACGGGACGTATTCTTGTCCGGGTTTGCGACGCGTTGAAACGTCCGATCGAAGCGCGAGTTGCCCTGAATAATCATCATCATCGTCGTCGTCGTCGTTGCGCGATCGATATCGATCCGATTGTCGACTCCTGCCGCGGTCGGGCCGTTGAGGGATAGTGCTCGTTCGCAAAGTGACACGCGCGAAGTGCTCCCTCGGTCGACAAAAGCGAACCCAGTGACGGGCGAGAAAAAGGAGTAACTGTGCGCGATTATCGGCACGTCCGAATTTCGTTTCGACGGGGGTAGTGGTGACAATGCGGAGCATGCTCGAGGACGACGCGGCGGGGAGTTGCTTCCCGGGCTCGAGTGAATAGCGAGAGGGTCGTAGATCGTCGCGACCGCCGATGACAGCCCCGTGACACCACGTGTTCGCGACGTCATTTCAAGACGAAGACGAAGACGACGGGTACGGTGACATTGGCGCCAGGACGATCTGTCGCGGCGGTGATGCCGTGATGCGTGTAACGCGTGTGCTAGCTGGATCTGGCAGTGCGTTCTGATCGAGTGTTGAGGGATTAACGGCTCAGGTAACGATCCCAATTCCGTTTATCGTTGTGGTGGTGTGCTGCTGGTAACACTCGTAGTTGTTGCTCGTTTTGGAGTATTGAGTGTGCGACGGTCCGACGACAATTCGAAGATCGTCCGGGGGTGTAGCTCGTGTGTATTTAATCGTGTTTCCCGGCTGATGTTGAGTTATATCCGCGTCTGAACGTTAAAAATTGCTGTTAGACTATGTCGATTAAGGACACCAGCCTGTCTCGCATAGCCGGACGACTTATTTTAGAAAGGAATTAGACCATTCGTCACCTCGATATTTTTGGCAAATGAACGTATTTCACTGTGTTTTATAAAAGAAGTGAATTGCAAACAATACAGAGTGTCGTCTCGTGCCGTCAAATGCGTTTGATTGTATTTTTTGTCATTCTGTATAATCTATATATGAGGTAATGGAAATTCTTTTTCTGAAATAAATTTTCCCAATTAATTTGAGGTGGATGCAATTGATCGGGTTTTTTACAGTATACCGGTTTTAATTATACGCGTTGTAATCTATGGAAATTTATTAGTTCCCGGCATATTATTCATATGTATATATGTATATATCATTGTGCGTGTGTTAAAAGCAATTTCGGAAGCAATGCGATTCAATGTAATGACTGTCAGCATTTTTTTTTCTTTTTTAATGGAATATACGGACGCGATATACGCACGATGGGGATATAGATATGGTCGGAAAAGGGTGAGGGAAAAAGAAATAACACTGGGTTTTATCCAATGTAAACACATTGGACGTCTGCATTGAATGTTTCCGGTTGCAATATTACGAAAGTCAAATAACAGTCACCGCAGAAAATCAAATACGCAGCATATTGCCGGCGCCGATAAGCTTCCGTCGAAATTATATTGACAGAGAATGCGTTGATGGCGAGCCGCAGAAGCATTTTCTGTTCCGAATACGGTGAAACATTAACGGCCGAAAAGGTGAATACTCTACGTTTCACTTGTTATCCGACTCCTCCCTACTTCCATACGGAATAATTGCTGTGAAACGTAATAGTCAGCTCTCGACAGACGCATGCAAATAAAACAATAAGCCCTTTACACGTATGATAGAACCGCGTTCAAACGAAATGAATAGCTTTTCGGTTCGTTAGTTTTCTGATTAATCGTTTCCATTCGCATTGTGTGCGTGTTGCATCTTTGTGACTGTGTAACTATAAACTATACTATAAACTTTGAATTTACCGCAGACCAGTCAACGTTCTTTTTCCTTTTCACATTATTTATCATTTTCTACAAAATATATTGCAATGTTGATAAACCGAAAAATGGTTTGTTGGAGCAGCACTAAAAATTTATGTGGAAAACACATTCAATTTATTAAAGCAATACGTGACCGAGATCCGATTATTTTATTTTATAATACAAGCCGTCCGTTTTCCAACTTCCGTCAATACGGTTATAAATGCAACCTTCATTACTGGTGATTCGACAGCTCTTTCTACTGTTTATTTGTCGGCATATATCTAACAACCGCATTGTGCATACGTACCCCGCGGGGTTAATTGTCCACGTAAACTGATTTACGAATGGAAAATGCATCTCAATTAGTGACCAGTGAAAAATATCCCGATGATCGTGCGACAGTCATCACCCGGTGATTTATACGCCGATATTCACATCGAATTTGAAATTTTCGCTGGAAATCGATATTAATTTGCATTGATCGGTTAATAATAACGTTAACGCCGTGAGCAATCGTTAATACCGCTGAATGACGTAACATTTTAACATTAAACATCAGCCATTCTTAGGAGGAACAACGCTGCAAACTTCTGTCTTTTTTTCCCTCCAAACCCATTTTATTTGCGCGATGTTTGGGCACAATATACAAACGCCGGGAGAAACGATGCAACTTCTCGTCGGTGAACGAGCGAGCGAGCAATGTTCTTCCAAGAAGAAGCCCTTTCTGTTCATGAACTTGCAAAACATCACCAACGAAAGTACAAGTAACAAGTAATTGCCTACTCCGAAACTTCCGCGATACAACGCGATACAAGAGGAAGAATGGGGTGGGGGGGGGGGGAGCAATGAAANGGGGGGGGGGGAGCAATGAAAAAATGGAGGTACGTTTTCATCGACCAGCCGTGCGCACTTAAGGCAAATTAAGTGGCTCGTGCGCCATAAACTAGTTTCCCTGGGGACACTTGGGACGTGAGTGGGGTTGGGGAACATACCGTTCGAAAGAGGGGCAGCGACACGTTTATTCGAGGAAGTTGTTCGAGCGATTGACCTGAAATTCCATGAGTGTGTTTTGTCGTGAGCGCGCTTTCGACAAATTTCGCTGCAGTCTCGCGAATGGCTCGCCGCCTTTTCGTGTTTCGCGAAAACTTGTTAGTGAATAGAATCCCCTGTCCCGCGGCGCCGCGCCGTGACATCGAGGATGTCGCGCTTGTTATCGCGACGTTCCGTTTGTGAGGAAATTTTTACCGAATTGCGAAGTAATTTGAAACGCGAATATTTTCACTTTCTGTCGACGTTTCTCTTAGACGACTGATTCAGACGCAATAAATGTTTGCGTGTGCGTGCGTAATACTCCCGTGACGAAATTAGTATAATTAATTTACATACACAGGCAAACAAGTCGCGAGAAATTCGCTTTTTGAGAGCAAGAGAAAGAGGGAAACGCGTTGCTCCGCCGAGTTCGCCGAGTTCGGCGAAAAGACGTGTTCGACCTCTTCAGCTGACTGTGGGAAATTACAGTGATCGGATAACTAATAAAATAATAGGGTCAAATAATTCGCTAAGAGGGAAAGATGAGGGGCCAACACGAGGGATAGGAGTAGAAGGAGGTGAAGGAAGGGTTACTTTTATCCCGCCCCGTGGAAATCATCGCCGTCTTAAGCGCGTTAATTTCCCACCCGACATTGTTCGTTGATTCTGTCCGCTGTCGTCGAACGCTCGTCTTTGATGTCTGCTCGGGCACTCCGGAGTTCTCCGGTCTTCGTTGGGGAGGTCGCTTTCTTGAGCTCGAGCCCGGTAATGGCCGTTTAAGAGCTCTGTGAAAAGCCCAGAAGCGACTCGGGCTGCTCGATATCTCGTCCATCGAACTTCCTAGGGCAGTCATTCTCTCGGCTCACTCGAGACCCCATTATTCTTCACGCTAATTCGACATCACGACATTAGCCGAGGATCTTCGATCCTTTTTCGAATCGACTCGGAGAATTATCCGCGACTGGTTTATCCAAGTTGTTTACACAAGTTTCGCACACCACGGGGTATAATTGCATCGACCGTTCTAATTTCCGCACGAATTATCAATGGAACGCAACGAAGTACAATTGCATTAATACGATAGAATTTATGATCAGGGAATTAAGACGATTCGTTTTTTGACGGAACTTTTCGCAGGCGGACAGGCAATTTGTTTCGGTCAGTTGGAAGGTGAACGAGTAACACGTCGAATCTTCGTCGCGTGTATCGCGTGACAATCTTTATAAAATGATCATCCATCGACGCACGTCCCTCTTCTACGGAACGAATCTCTCGTCACGTAGTAGTAGCAGCAGCGCGACGGTTCGACGCAAAAGTAGATAGAACTAACTCCGCGTGTCCGATGTGGAACACGTCGGTGGGACAACTCTCTCCTTTTCGCTGGCCGTACTAACACGGGTTGTAACCACTTTCCGCGTCCGCTTCGAGTGCTCCAATAGAGACGAAAGCCGGGGAGAGAATAGCCGATAAGAACAAAAAGCACTTACGAACTACGGAGGAGCATTGCGGACGTGTTCCGCGACGTGGCGAAAGGTTCGTCTGACCATTTCGATTGTGTCAATATCCGCCGTTAGAAATCGAATCATCCGTCATCTTCTCTTCTAACTCGAGAGTCTAACGCGAGACCTCGCTCCGTCTAAGAAAGTTTTATCTGATTTTATTAACTCGACGGTCTCCGTCCCGCGTTCGAGTCGCGATCCTTCTGGGACTTGGAATTTTTAATTCCTGAATTTCATTCATGATCAATAATTATTGTTGTACAAACATTCGCAGGAATAAACTTTTTGTAAAAAACAAAAGAGCGAGAAGCAACGTCGCTTTCGTTATCGCAGCGAAGATAACAAAAGCGTCGCCGTTTTAATTCAATATCAAGTGAATTTCCGACTTCCTATTTCGAAAAGTAACGTCACGGGAGCGAACGTGGAAAGGATTGTTTTTAAGGATTTCGCTGGTCGTTTGTTGCACGATTGCGGAAACTATCGGGGCGAAGCAGACACGCCCTTCGAGCCATCGATTCATACATTTACTTTGGACGGCAATGCTCGCTGTCGCATTTTCCGCCCTCTCAACCGGAAGCAGGAAGTTCGTTTTGCTCGAGGCGTAAAAATACGAGATATAAAGCATCCCGGGGTCGGATCGAGGTGAAAGGAATTTCAATTATTACCCGAGGCGCATCGAGCCTTGTTTTATCAATGGTACCCTGAGGAACGAAATAAGCTCGCGCATTAAAAATACCGCGTTGAAATTTCGCGAGACAAGCGGAACTTAATCGAGCAGATCACGCAAGAGCGGAGGCGGGGTGTTTCGTTAACCGATGAAATTATCGATAGAAATAATCGCGTCGCTGATTGCATCGCGGAAGGCTATGTATATTTTATCGGCGACGACCTTTCGCCATTGAAAATATACGGAAAATTCTCTATGAATTGATTATCCACGAAATATAAGAAAAACTTTCCAGGAAAATACGCGATAGAGAGAGGGGAGAACTGAGAGAAAGAAAAAGAATCTCTTCTCATCGATATTCTTTCGTCGGTAATGAGAAATTCTCCATCTGAGGCGAAAAATAATATACACGACTCGCTACGCATGATACGCGATCGGGGGCAATTAATTCACTGTCTATCGTTGGAGCGACTACGCTAAAATCTTATCGGACTACTTAAGTAAGCGTCGTAACCGAAAATCCAGCCGCGAGGGATGCAGATCTCGTTCCCTCTTATCTCCGGCATCCCTCGTTAGATGTAACACGACTTCAGTCTGTACTATCCTTCTCGTATTCTCCTTGCGAAGACGTCACTCGCTCGCAAGACTCACCGAGAGGAATGACGCGCTCGTTCGTTCATTCGTTCGCTCTCTCGCTCGCTAAAACGTCGATTCGCGTCTTGCTCTCGAGAGGAAGGTCGCCGGTCGCTTTACAACTCGTCGGGAATGACCGGAAGCGCTCAGCGCGATCCACCCTTGGACGATGAGGGAGCAAAAAATGAGATGAAGTGGATAAGGATCGGGGAGAGTTAGTCGAGGAGGAATCTTCGATTAAATCTGGTGATCAGCAGCTCTTCGACTAAACCAACCGTATAAAATTCAATTTTGCTTTTTTTTTTCCATTTCATGTCCGCCTTCCCATCCTTATCCGGTCAATTTATAATAACTCGATTTTCGCGGGGGCTTCATTAAACGCTTCGTTATTAACTTTTATACGAATCTGCGAGGTTACGAGGAAAGAGCATTCGAGAAAACGACCCAACAAACATCAAGTAACAGTAACGTTACCTCAATATTATAACTTACAACTTAATAATGCAACTACAATATAACACATACTGTACATAATAGTTACATTGTTGAATGGGAAATTATAATATTGATGTAATGTTACTGTTACTTGGTGTTTGTTAAGGAAGATTCACGAGTCGTCTCAAGTCACCTTTTCTTTTGATTCTTGCAGTATCGCAACAGATAACTGGACGAAAACTGATACGAAAAATCTCATTCTAACTAATAACACACATTTTACGATTCCTTTTCCACTGTTTCTCCACATACATAAACAATACTTCTAGTTAACTTATCCCGGTCTTTCCTGTCTTTAAAGTTAAAACCGCGGCCCTTGCGCGAAGGATGCGTTATACTATACTGGCATATTAAAGGGACGTACATTATATGTCTCTTATATATCCGTCTTTTCACGGAATTACCTCTTATAAAGAGACGTAGACCGTAACGAATCCCCGGTCGTGTATCCTGGTTGCAACTCCTCCCATTAATAAACGGTGTGTATATCCGAGCCGAAATTTTGCTTCTACATTCATACTGTGAATTCTAACTAACTTGAAAGACCGTTTCCAAAATCATTTCATATTCGCTTATCATACGTATTCCACCTGCAGTTAAAAAAAAATAAGTCGTACATATATAATTAATATTTAACTTATTGAAATTAAGAATTTAATATTAAATATTACTAAATTATCATAAATGTGCTCTGCAAACGGCAATAAATGATCATTTGTAACAACAAGGTAGGATAACGGTCTGTATAATTTTTTTTTTGTTCGAGATTTCTTTCGGTCAGGATACGTCCGTGCAGATTTCCGTATAGAGCACGACATTTTCGCGTTTACATCTTCGATTTATCTCGCAGCGCGGAATGATTTACGAGTAGCTAATGGCTGTCGAATAAGAGCGACGTGGTAATCAGAGCGGCGAGAACGTTGCCTGGATAAACCGGTCTACGAAGTTTACAAGGCCCCGCACGAATGAGCTGCATTGTCCTTGCACAAAGGATACCATTCACCTGCCGCGTTTCCTAGATTTCCCAGGACGCGCGCGGAACTCCGGGAAACCCGAGCATTTTTCTCCCCGCGCACGTGCGACCATTACTTTTGTATTCGCGATCCTCACGTTCGACGACGCGCGAAATCTATCGCCGGGAAAAATGCGCACCGTGCGGGCAATTTTCCGTTATAATCGGTCGATATCCCGCGATCAGTTTCGCGCCCACCGACGCTTACGCCTCTTCGTTCTTCATCCGTGTGAATCCTCACGAAAATCCCGTTGTTGTTCCGGCGTATCTCTCCGCTGATCGGAGTGTCGGGAAGAATAACGTGCGCACGATAGAATGGAATGCCTAAGCTTCTACAGCGGAGAGACTATCGCCATTTGTGCGCAATTTCAAAGTTCGAAAAATTACAGAACAGCGCGCAAATACGGGAAACCCGAACGCACGACTTCGCGGTTAAATGTATTTTCTTTATTAAAGTTATCCCGAGATCATGTTGAATCCGCTAAAAATACGCCCCGTGTAAGAATGTCAAATTTGACGGATATTTGTTGTTTTCTTCCGTGATATTTTGCTCGATTTTCTCCTTCTTAGCCGTCAGTGTTAACGTCGCGTATGCCTTTTTCAAAATAAACTCGTCAGTTAAAGTTTGAGTTTCGGCCGGTCTGATGGAAAGGATTTTATTAGTCGGAGGAATTGAGAAAAGAGTCGGAGGATTTATCGTATCTATGTGGCAGTCTCATACGGAGCCCGTCGGGGAATCTCTCATCCATTGTGAGTTTCCAGAGATAGAACAGAAAAACCGGCATCAAACCGTGAGTTTTCGATGCGCACTGCGTTCGTTATTTGAAATGATCAATCGACTTTGGTGCGGCTCTGTATCATTCCATGCTGATCAACCGTCGATCGTTATTAATCCAATATCGTGGCGCGCGCACCGAAAACGGCGGCGAAATTAACAATAAACGCGTCACGCGTTATCAAACGTGACTGTCCGTATTAAATGCCAGCTGCATGTGTCGATGGTATCTCTGCGCGAATTTCACTGAAAACGATGCGAGTAAAGCGTCCGAATACGTCCAGCACTATTGCCGCTGGGAAAATTTCACCGTCACAATGTCCATCTACATTTCTCGGTATCTTATTTGAACTGTCGGAGAAACAATGACCGGCGCCGCGTTTTTCTCTCTCTCCCTTTTCCGGAATTAGAGAAATCCAAAGTTTTACATCGCGCGAAAATACTCAAATTACGGACGAAGATATGGGAGTATCTGGAAAATTATATTTGACTTTATTCCCCGTTCGCTCTCCTGCTGTCTCTCTGTTTCTACCGCTCTCTTATTAATGAAAATTCATTTCGCTTGTTGACAGGGCGTCGCCTGAGTTTCATACGAGACACGAGCCACCTTAGGATGGTGCGAGGGTGAAATTCGAGGGTGAAGAGACGTTCGCCAGTATGCTGCGGATATTGATAGTGGTGACTTGTATCGAGGCATCGACGCTCGCCAGTGCACAGTCGAAAGGAACCACTTCCTTCGACGACGATGCAAACAGCGACGAACCTGACCACCCGAGTGAGTACACATATATATATTCTGTGAAACAATAGAGGGAAATTCGCGACACTTTCCGCACGTAACTCGAAAGAAATATATTCGGTATATTTTCGGTACAAGTGAAATTTGTCAGGAAAAGAAAAAGAAAGCAAAGAATCTTTCGTAACCTGGTAACTCACTACGTTTGCACTCGCCTACGCGTTAGTGCCTTGTGAACCAATTATTAAAAATACACGTGCTCGGTGCAACACGCGTGAGAGCACAATTTCCATCTCTCTCTCTCTCTCTCTACGATGGCTGAGTGGTGATGCAGTAGATATTGACAAATGCGAGTCTATCGGCTAGTTTAGTTACTGGCCCGAAACTCGGCTTAACTGCATGTGTAAACAGGCTTTCAGCGCGTGTGCGCTTCGCTGAAAAAGTGCGACGGTCTAATATTCGAGCGTGCACACGGCGAATCCATAAAATTGAGCGACAAGCCGATCGTGGAGAAATTCAAACACCTCCGGTCCGTTGGGGAACGCGAATGTGCACACTTCCGATTCATCCGGTGCGATACACAAGCGTAATGCTCCCGCGTCTCTTTCGCGCGTTTCCATGCACACGTATACGTAAATACATACACACAGGAGCACAAGTACGCGCGTGTACGCGGAGTGTGGTAGGAGAAACAATTTGTTAAAATGACCGAGGGAACGTGCCCCGACGCGAGGATGCTCGCTTTTGCCGGTGTTGTTGTGTTGTGCAAGCCGGCCGAGAGGGAAAGAGAGAGAGAGAGCGCCCACGATGGCGAAATGGCGAGAGCAAACTACTCGTGCAAATTGCCGTGCTCGCGCTCGCGCGCACGGCGGCGCGCGAGAACTTTTTCCCGAATTTATTTGCGCGCGGTTCTCCGGCGAAACGGATATCAAGATTAACGTTCGAAGAGCTAGTGAAAGAAAATGCGGGAGAGAGTGTGAGGGAGGAACGAGCGAGAGCTGATTCAACTTCGACGACCAAGTTCTTCGAAACATATCGAGATCGCAATTACCAACCGGCCCGCAGCGAGAATCAGCGACGGCGAAAGTTGCGAAGATCGCGCGACCTCGGTCGCTTTAAATTTCTATGCTTCACTCTCCCGCGGAGTCTCCCGAGAAGTTTGACGATCGTGTGATCGCGCAGACGCGACACCCGGCCTCCTCCCCTGAGGGAATAACTTTCCGTCTCTCGTTTTATACAGCGCGACTGCACACTAGCACGCGGGCTATCAATTCGCTTTGAGTCGCATGAATTTTTACGGAACGCCGCCGCGTGGTGCTGTTGTGTTTTTTGTTTTTATTGATGTTATCGGCCGACCTTTTATATCATGTCTCGTTATCCGGCCCGGTTTGCATTTTCCGTTTTATGCCTTCGAGCGTGCTTTTGCCCGAATGAGAAGAGCGGCGTGTTTTTTATTCTCTGGTCGCGTTCTGTGTAATACTTATACTAGAAGGGATAATTTTGCACCGCTATGAATTAATTTAGTGCTCGAAAAAAAAGTCCAGCGCTCGTGTTCGTTTCGATTACAGTATGTTCATCGATTTTTTCCAATAGAGGAACACTGCAACAACAAAAATAACACGCATCGACGAAGAACTGGAAATGAATCAATTTTTTGCCAGTCAGTTCGGATTCAAAGCGCGTTCACTTATTGTCGCGGCAAATAATGGCCTCGGTAGTTGTTCCTCTCCTTCCTCTTCGTCGGTCGCGTGCGAAACGATTATTTAACCTACTAAGCTCTTTCAACTCGAAGAGATCTTAAAGTTCTTCGCTGGAGTTCATAAAATAATTAGCCGGGATGAAAGCGATATCAAACGAGTTATGGGACCTCGCGTGTCGACGACTAGCCGTGGGTGAAAGCTCGCACGGGCGAAGCTCAGGCACACTTTATAAGTTCTGGACGAGACTGAGTTAATTAGATATGTATGAATAGCTCGAGCGTCGACCGGGGACATATAATTAATGCGGCGCGCCGGCTAAGTGAGAAATTAATTATAATATGGAAATTAGTATTGTCTTCTCTCTCTCTCTCTCTCTCATACTCTATTTCTCTCGGTCTCTCTCCTATTTCTCTTTCACACATACTTTCTTCTCTTATTCCTATTCGTCTGGGAACTGACCACGCGAGCTACCGTTCTTTCGGCGCGGTAAAAATTTTCTCGACGCAGATGCACGCGCGAAACGTGTGGATACAACCGGTCACGTGTTTCATGTAACGGCACATATGGTGCGCGCGACGCTCTCTTTCCAAGTATTTCGCTAGGAGGAAAATCTCTTTTATGCGTGATAAAACCATCAGCTCCTCGGGACAAATTTATCTTCGCGCGTGACCATCCGCGCGAACTTCACAAGTGGGAAATTTCGCGTGATCTTTCTACCAGAATTGATCTCGCACGTGATTCTGTATGTTTGACGCCATGTGCATACGGAAAAAATGTTTCGTTGATGTAACTAGAAGGTGGACGACTAAACGCATTTTGGTTGAAGGAAATAGAATTTCTGATTATAAGAACCACACGCGTTTGGATGTCCACTTTCTGGTTAATTCAAACTTTTTTCCATGCACGTATTGCGTAATTCGCATAAATACTTGATTTACACCCACCAATTTTGACGATTTTATCTTAATTAAAGTTTTTACCTCGTCGTGTATTCGTCGAATCAATCTGTAAGTTTCGCGAATAATTGACAGGTGGTATTCTCTTTTTGTTTTATTTTTTACTTATCATCAGGCGTGAATGTTTGAAATAAAATGGGAGCAAAATCGCGCGTCGAAGTGTTTAAAAGTGTAACGGCAGGTGCATTAGCATAGAATTCCTAGACTCTCCGTATAGATATACTTTAATCTTGATAGATATATCATAGTTAAACTAAATACAAATTAGATATCTCTTTATCTCTTCCCCTCTCATCCCCCCACCCCCTCTTTCTCTCTCTCTCTCTCTTTCTTTCTCTCTCTCCCTCTCTCTCCCCCCTGCGTAGTCTCGAGCTGTTATTTATTCGCCCCGTTATCTCGAAGAGAACTTTGCGCCAGCAAGTTTGGTGAATTTTGTACATTCTTGGGAAAGTGTTTGCTCCGCTACAGGCATTACGTGCTCTCTGTTTGTACAACGTCGCGTGGTGTAGGTCAGTAACGACGAGCAGGTCGATTCACATTCTAGCCTCATGTCGCACGTACGCTTTACACGATGCCTTCCCTCTTTCGAGTACGTTGCTGTACAGGAAATTCGTGAGCCAAGTTACACTCTTTCCGGGGATATATTCATATATTTAACATAATAACGACGCTCGAAACGCCGATATTATATCAAATATAAACCGATAGGCTCGTTGCGCTCCTCGCAACTTGCGGTGAGCCGGCGAAAAGAGGATTGCGACCGGAATCGGTTTAGCTCGTCGGTTAACTACAGGGTTAACGGTAACCTCGTTGCCCAGCGGAGCCCACAGGAGTTACCCTCGCCAACAAGGGGCGAGTTTCGGGCGAAACAACTCCTCGAGGCTACCTCGGCGAACTTTCGGGTTAACGGTAATCTCGTTGACGAGGCTCCGACACACGCCCATCCACCCATTCATCCACACACACGTACACTCGGAGTTCCTACGACAAGCTCAGCAATTTTTAGGATTAAAACCGCAATGCGCGAGAGCCCTTGGCTCGTTAAAAAAGTTCGCGGACGGTAACGTATCGCTGAAGTCCCCTTGTCTTTTTCGCGGTGATGCTGCGACGATGCCGGAGCTGTCGCCCGTTACTTAAAAACTACTTCCCACTGTGACACCTTAAATTTTTCCTTCGGTTTTCGCTCTATATTTAAAAACAAACCCGAGGAGGAGTGAGGAGAGGAAGAAAAGGAAGACAGTGGTATTTCGGCGCTCTCTCTCTTTCTCTCTCTCTCTCTCTCTCTCTTTCTCTCCTCTCTAGAAGCTAATGAATTTTCTAACGCGACGGCGCACACGCTCGAGAGATCCCGTCTTCATAGTTCGGCTCTCGAACGCAGAACTTATTCAATTAAGAGCTCGGTTCGAAAGTCGCAAAAATGCGTCACGTTGTTCGGTTTGCAAATCGAGGTCGCCGTGGTCAACTGGCCTCTCTCATTCGTTAACGAGTTCGCGAGTTTGCCCAAGTCTCGTCTTGGGTAGCCTCGACAACGAGTTGGGGATTCCGCTTAACTCGTTGCTTTGGTAAACTCGAGGACACTTTGTTAAGCTTAATCTCCTTTCACGGTTATTGGGTTCCGCTCTTTACGAACAAAAGGACGCGATGCTTTCGGATGGCAAGGACTTAAGTCCTCCTGACTGGAATATACTGGCTGCCTGTATTGCGTGAAACCTCCCGGGAAACTCACTCTTGCCTTTATTAACTTCTGCACACTTTGCGTACTTGGTGAAGATCGCGGTAACCTATGTCATGATACTTTCTTTTTATATTTGTTACAGTAATTTAGAGTATTTCGATGAACAAAGAAAAGTGGCACTTTAGCTTAGTAAAGCCACGGAACTAAGAAGCGTTCGCGTGCGAACAAGCGAGCGAATTTTCATATCGATTCACTCTCAATGGTCTTGTTTCTGTTGGAAACAATAATAGGTTTCCATTATATAGATACAATGTAATGATTGGTAAGAAAACATCGTCAAAAATGAGCTTAAAATAATAATGGGAACAGTAAGGGTTTGTTACATTTTAACGGCAACAGTAACGAATTACTTTAAAAGGTAACTCTCAAGCCTGGTTCTTACCATGATAAAAAATAAAAGTGGATAGAGATATGCCTTTTGTATTATCCTTACACGATTAATCGTGAATATTCTACTCTAAACGAGGTCGAATTCAATTCTCGAGAGATTACGCGGCTAGAAAGGTGAACCTTAAAATACTCTTTTCAAGGGAATGGCTCGCGTTCGATAAAGATTTTAATATTTTTTTATGTTAAAAAAACACGCGCACTAAACGCATTTTAGCATACGTGGTCATTATATTACGATAGTTTGACAACTGATAGCGC